TGCGGTGCCCTGGTCCCCTCTTCCTTCCACAACCTAAGCTGAGATGGCGGGAGCCACAGCAGCTTTCTTAGTGCACCTGGGCTGCTGTAGACTGGCAGCTGAGACACAGAGACTGGGAGTTCCCAGATCAGGGTGCCAGGTCAGGGCTGGCTTGCACGTGGCTATGTTCTCGCCGTGTCTTCTCTCAGCAGCCAGAGGAAAGAGAGAGAGTCCTCTGTCATCTCTTCTTGCGGGGGCCGCCATCAGCACTTCATCTAACCCTGCATAGCTTCAGAAGCCGCACCTGCAGATCCCAGCCCCTGGAGTCAGATCTCTGATATGTACATTTGGGGCACACGCTCAGTCCCTAGCCACAGCTGTGCTGTGAGCTGCTTTGAGACCAGGCTGTCACGTCGTCGGCTGTCCCTGCAGCACCTTGCCTCATTTGGGACAGGCAGGGCTCAGTGGTCAGTTCTGGGCAAGGTTTCAGGTGGCTTCCAGGCCCAAGCCAGGACCTCAGGCCACCTCTTGGCTCCACACCAAGCTAAGCCAGGTAGCGGGCTACTTCCCCAGGCCACTGGACATCAGCCTGCTGCCAGCTGTCTACGGGGAGAAGGGACAGCTGGCATCCGAGTTGGGTCACAACCCAGGTGGCTGTGGGTAGAACAGCGTGGCTTCTGACAGGCAAGAGGACGGAGTTCCGGTTAGAAATGTTTTCACCAAAATGGTTAAAAGAGAAACCGGTTGGCCATCATGGCCTTGAAAACTGGAGGTTGGAAATGGCTCAGGCCCCATAGAACAGCCTTGGGGGCCTCTTTCTGAACAGCCCAAACCCCCGGGATCTGTGACCTCTCCGTGGTGGCAAGCTCAGGTCGGGTAAGGAGGGCTCTCATTCTCGGCTCTCCTGGACAAGGCAACCACGCTGAAGGCGTGTGCGTGTGTGCGTGTGTGTGAGCTTTGAGCCACACCTGCACTGCTTGGCCCGTGCTGTTTACAGATTCGGCGCAGTGGGTAAGTTGCTGCTTGGGATGCCTGCAGCCCGTATCAGGGCACCTGCGCTGAAGTCGCAGCTCTGCTTCTGATCCTGTGCGTGGTGTGGGGGACACAGGGACCCCGCTTGGCACTGAGGCAGTGTTAGGAGGCGGCCTTGTTGGTCTCACCCGACCACGGTCTCAGGGCGACCTTGGCTGAGCCTGGATTTCTGTGGGATCGCTCCTGTCTCACTGGAAGCACAGCGGGGCTGTGTGTCCCCAACCAGCTTTCTCTTTCTCGGTCCTCTTTATTTTATAGTTGAGGAAATAGGGGCACGGGTTGAGGTGGATTAAAGATGGCTGAAAATGGGGCTAGCCTTGTGGTGTAGCAGGAAAAGCCGCTGCCTGCTGCGGCATCCCATGTGGGTGCCCGATGATGTCCCTGCTGCACTTCCGATCAAGCTGCCTGCTAACGGCCTGGGAGAGCAGGGGAAGATGGCCCAAGTGTTTGGGCCCCTGCCCCTATGTGAGAGACCCGGATGAATTTTGGGCCCCTGCCCCTGTGCAGGAGACCTGGATGAAGCTCCTGGCTCCTGGCCATTGTGACCATTTGGGGAGTGAACCAGCAGATGGATGATTCTCTCTCTCTGCCTCTCCCTCCCTCCCTCTCTCCCTCTCCCTCCCTCTGTCTCCCTCCCTCCTTCTCTCCCTCTCCCTCCCTCCGTCTCCCTCCCTCCCTCCCTCCCTCCCCTCCCTCTCTCCCTCTCTCCCTCTCCCTCCCTCCCTCTCTCCTCCTTCCCTCCCTCCCTCTCTCCCTCTCTCCCTCTCCCTCCCTCTGTCTCCCTCCCTCCTTCTCTCCCTCTCCCTTCCTCCATCTCCCTCCCTCTCCCTCCCTCTCCCTCTCTCTGGAACTCTGGCTTTCAAATAAATAAATCTTAAAAAAAAAAAAAATGATGGCTGCAAAGTCTTCCCAATGCCCGTCATGGAGATGTGGGTCTCAGTTTCCCTCCCTGTTGGAGCTGGCATGCCTGGTGACTTGCGCTGGTCAAGAGAACGTGGCATCGTCACTGTGGGGCCCTCAGAGAGGTGGCTTCTGTGGGCCTTTGAGCCGCATAACTTCTCAGAGCCCAGGCGCTGGGCGGGGAGGACCCCTGCCCACAGGGTGGGGGAGGCCCACACCCACCAGCAACCCCAGCACCGATGGCCGGACCGTGCCCGCCTGCCTTGGCGGTCACGTCCTCCCCTCGCCAGCAGAAGTGGTCGCCGAGCCCCAGGGGGCGTATTCAGCACTGGACGTGTGGCTGATACAGGTAAGGGACTGGATTCTAAACTCTGGCGTTTTCATTCGTTTAAAGGAAATCTGATTAACACACACGTCATTTAAATACAGTGAAAATGAGGGTGGAGTTGAGCCTGAGTGCGTTCTGCCCTTGATGGTGCAGGATGGGCTCTGCTACCTTAGGCTTCCTCTGGCAAGAAAGACGAGGCGGACCCTGTAATGGCCTCCCTGCGTCCATCCTCATCCTGGTTCTGCCTGCTGGCCGCTTCTCACTCAGGGACGCCGCTGTCAAATGCAGTAAGAACATGTCACACTCGTGCCTGAAAATCCACGATGGCTCCCCGGCCCCCTGCACCACGCTCCCGGGGCCTGAGGCACTGGACAAGGAAGCAGTGGCGGGGGAAACAGCGCCCCCTGGAACTGCACGAAGCCACGGAGGCGAGACAGCCACACAGGACGTTGGCAGGAAGGGTCGAGAGGACGCCTTCCGCGTGCTCAAAAGGCTGATTTCATCCACTTAGGTTCTAAAAAAAAATTGCTGGTAGTCCCCTTTGAGAAAGCAGAAAAAGAGAAGAAGGGAGAATGCCCGGGTTATCATCAACTACTTTTCATTAACAATATTTTGTCTTTCATTGTGATAAAATACACATAATAGAACATTTACCATCTGAACCTGTGTTAAGGGCACCATTGATTCTGTGACATTAATTAGCATATTCACAGTGTTCGGCACGTGTCCTCTCCCCCAGCTGACACTGTCCCAGGGAACCCAGCAACCCCCCCACCACGCCCCTTCCTGGCTCTGTGGTTCTGGCTCCTAGAAACCGCCCACAAGCAAAGTCCTTTGTTGACTGGCTGGTTTCGTTAGTGTAATATCCTCAAGGCTCATCCATGCGGGAGAAGGTGTCCGAGTTTTGCTGGTGAGTTCATCTGATGACGGACGCTTACGGACGCTTGGGCTGCTTCCGCCTCTGGGCTATTGTGAAAAAATGCTGTGATGAACATGGGTGTGCAAATAACCGGGTCTCCCCTTTCAATTCTTTGGGGGTGTCTGCCAGAAGTGGGACTGCTGGGCCAGATGATAATTCTATACCTAATTTTTTGAGGAGCCGCCAAAATGTTTTCCTTAGTGAAAAAAAGTGTATTCTAACTACTATAAAGTTATTTCCAAAAACCCTCGCTGGTGCTTTACAACAAAACCAAACCGTGCCAGAGGAAGTGAGTTGTTGAAGGTACTGTTTCTTGTGCATCGTTGTAGAACATTCCTAAGCATATGCAAGCTGTGGGCGTGTGCAGTTTTCTTACACAACCAGGATCCTCCTAAGCTAGGTATTGCATTGACCTTTTTTTTTTTTTGACAGGCAGAGTGGACAGTGAGAGAGAGAGAGACAGAGAGAAAGGTCTTCCTTTTTGCCGTTGGTTCACCCTCCAATGGCCACCGCGACCAGCATGCTGCAGCCAGCGCACCACGCTGATCCGATGGCAGGAGCCAGGTGCTTCTCCTGGTCTCCTATGGGGTGCAGGGCCCAAGCACTTGGGCCATCCTCCACTGCACTCCCTGGCCACAGCAGAGAGCTGGCCTGGAGAAGGGGTAACCAGGACAGAATCTGGCACCCCGACCGGGACTAGAACCCGGTGTGCCGGCACTGCAAAGCAGAGGATTAGCCTATTGAGCCATGGCGCTGGCGCATTGACTTTTAAAACACAGAGGGAAAGGTTTGCCATTTGCTGGTTCACTCCCCAACTGGCCACAACGGCCAGAGCTGTGCCAATCTGAAGCCAGGGGCCAGGAGCTTCTTCCAGGTTTCCCACATGGGTGCAGGGGCCCAAGCACTTGGACCATTTTCTACTGCTTTCCCAGGCCATAGCAGAGAGCAGGATTGGAATTGGGGCAGCGGGGACTTGAACCGATGCCCATATGGATGCCAGCACTGCAGGCAGAGTTAGCCTCCTATGCCACAGCGCTGGCCCCAGCACACTGTTTTCAAGGTTGATCCATCTTGGACCATGTGTCAGTACTTTATTCCTTCTTATGGCTGAAGCACATTGCGCTGTAGGGAGAGACCACGTTTTCGTCACTGTTGGTTATTAAGAATAACACTGCTGGAGCTGGTGTTGTAGCACAGCCGGATGTGATGCCAGAATCCCATATGGGCGCAGGTTCAAGTCCCAGCTGCTCCACTTTCGATCCAGCTCCCTGCTAACGTGCCTGGGAAAGCAGCAGCAGAAGGCCCAAGTGCTTGGAGCTCTGGCACCCACGTGGGATACCGGGATGGAATTCCAGGCTCTTGGCTCCGGCCTGGCCCATCCCTGGCCATTGTGGCCATCTGGGGAGTGACCCAGCGAATGGAAAAATCTCTTTGTCTCTCCCTCTCTGTTAACTCTGCCTTTCAAACAAATAAACAAATCTTAAAAAAATAATAATGCAGCTATGGACATTTACCCCAAGACTTCATTTCTCTTGGGTATATTTGCAGCGCCTGGCCATGTGACCCTGGGCACCAAACTCCACCTGTGCCTGGATTCTCACACCTGCGAGCGCAGACTGAATCGGCTAGCGTGTGAGTTAACCAGGGTACATCGCCTGGATGGTGTGTATTGGTGTCCCTTTTTGGGTCCCACTACCAGATCCGATTCAAAGCGGGTGAGCCTCGTGTTCCACGCGGGGAACTAGACCTCAGCCCACTGAGCTTGCGTATTTGCCTGCCGCGCCCCGCCCCGCCGAAGCCACGCCCCCACGCCCCGCCCCCGTCACGTGGGCCCCGGCAGCCCTCGCGCGCCACCCCGCGGCTCTCGCGCACGCGCGGCTCCGGCCCGGGGGCGGGTTCCGCGCCGGCCCTTGGCGACCACCAGCTCAGGGGCGGCCGCACGGCGTCGCGCGCACGCTCGGGCGGGGCTGCCAGCTCTTCTCCAGCGGCTGCTGAGACGCCGCTGCCGGGCCGAAGATGGACCTCCCGGTGCTGCTCCCCGCCCCGGCCGCGCGCAGAACCCAACATGGCGGCGGCGAGCCCGGCAGGCTCCGCCGAGGCCCGGGGCCTCCGCTCGGCTCGGGCCCCGCGCGCCGCCGCCTGCTGCTGCTGCGGAGCCCCGAAGATGGCGGTCCTGGGCCGCGGCACGGGGAGGCCCCCGGGCCGAGCCCGCCGCCAGCCGAGGACGGCGGCGACTCCTTCGTGGTGCTGCTGGAGGTGGCGCGCGGCACCACCGCCGCCGAGACTCCCGAGCGGCGGGAGGCCGAGCCCGCCCCCAGCTCCGCCGGAGGACCGGAGCAGGGCCTCGGCGGTGCGGCCGCCGCCCCCGGCGCCGCCCTCGCGGGCACCGTCACCATCAACAACCAGGACCTGCTGGTGCGCTTCGACAACGGGGTCTTCACGCTGGCGCCCGCGCCGCAGCCTGCGCCAGGGCCGGAGCCGCCGCCGCCGCCGCACCGCCCGCCCGCGCCGCCCGGCACGGCGACCGCGCACCCCGCCGAGAATCGCCGTGGGACCGCGGGCGCCGGCCCCGGCGCACCGGGCTACCGCTGCCCCGAGCCGCAGTGCGCGCTGGCCTTCGCCAAGAAGCACCAGCTCAAGGTGCACCTGCTGACGCACAGCGGCCTCCAGGGCCGGCGGCCCTTCAAGTGCCCGCTGGACGGCTGCGGCTGGGCCTTCACCACCTCGTACAAGCTCAAGCGGCACCTTCAGTCGCACGATAAGCTGCGGCCCTTCGGCTGCCCGGTGGGCGGCTGCGGCAAGAAGTTCACCACCGTCTACAACCTCAAGGCGCACATGAAGGGCCACGAGCAGGAAAGCCTGTTCAAGTGCGAGGTGTGCTGTGAGCGCTTCCCCACGCACGCCAAGCTCAGCTCCCACCAGCGCAGCCACTTCGAGCCCGAGCGCCCGTACAAGTGTGATTTTCCCGGTAACGGCGCGCCACGGGCTGGCGGGGGCGGGCGGGGGTCCCAGGCGGCCGCCCCAAGGTGCCAGAGTTCCCTGCTTGGGGCTGGGGACCGAGGGCCGGGAACAGGTGCCTTCCGGTGTGTTTGTGCGTGCCCTGCCTGGTATGTGCTGAGTGATTGGATGTGAGACCCGGACAGGGTTGCTGTGCGCAATAGTCCCAGCTGGTCTCCCCGGCGGGGACGGCAACGGATGCTCGCTTGGGCTGCCTCCGGTTAGTGAGAGTGAGAAGATGCAGGGACCACAGCCCAGACCTCAGACCCTCAGGGCCGTGCCCCACCGGCGTGGCGCGGCCCCGGTTTTGTGCCTTTTGTATCTTGATTTCATTTGGGCGTGCCGGTTTAGCAGAGTTTTAAAAAGTGATCCTCTGTCAAGGTTTACAGCGGCCCTGGTGTTCCGGCCTGTGGACTGTCTCCCCTCTGGGGAGGACACACTGGCTCAGAGCCTGCCTCTCTTACGGGAATCTGATGGTGGCTGGGACCTCCCGCCGGGTGTAGGGCAGGGCAGGGACCCGGTGCCTCCAGGCGGGCCCCGTGTTTTGTGTTGGCTGACAGGTGAGCTTTGGGAGAGGTGGGAGAGGGACCGGTGTGGCGCCTTGCAGTGGCCCAGATCTGAGCTAGCTGAGGGCTTGAGCCAGGGTATGGCAGGGGAGTGGGGAGGGGCTTCCCGCAGGGGACTGCAGAGGGAGCATCCGAGGGCACGGCTACTGATCTGGGGAGCGGTCTCGGTGAGGAAGGGAGAGTCGGGTCCAGGTGTACCTTACCAGTTGGGAACTGTTGGGAGGGTGGGCTCCTGATTGAGGCCAAAGTGCGTGAACTTAGGGTGTTAACAGAGAACCGCATTTCCCGGTTGTTGTCGCTGGGAACGCCGGGTTCCTTGGTCCACGCGCTGTCTTCACAGTGTGGCGACAGCTCGTTCAGGGCTCTGAGAAGAGCCGCAGCAGAGGCACCTGTTAAACGTGCCGCCTCGGACGCCCACCCTGTCTGATCTCCGGGTGCTCTGTCACGGGAGAAGTGCTGGGTGGCAGTCTGGGCACCGGGGACAAGGAGCTTGCTCGGGCTGGGGGCTCAGCTGGGGGCCGAGGGTTGAGCAGATGGAGAGAGCAGGGAGCCCCAGGAAAGTGGACAAAATGACCCAGAGAGGCCAGAGGTGGAGGAGGGGCTGCGGTTGCAGAGGATGGGGGTAGGGTCGTGCATGTGTGGGCCTTCGGAGTCTGCCCCCACCAGACAAAGTCATGCTCCTTAGTTAACATCTCTCGGGGTTTCCTTGGGTCCCCCACGAGCAGCCTTGTCGCCTGAGGTTGTGGAAGGGACGCGGAAGGGCGTGGAGCTGCAGAACTAGCCGGCGGATGACGGTCACTGGGGGACTGTCTCGTGACCCGGCGCCCCGTCTCCAGGTCGTAGGTGTGCCTGTCGCCTCTTCGCAGCTGCCCTGCTGTGGCTGTCACAGAGGGAAACTTCTGAGACGCCCCCCCACCCCCACCCCGGCGGGCATGGCATGGCGGGGTTGTGGCTGGTTTTTCAGCCGTGAGCGGGCTGTGAGCAGGGCTTGTTTTCCCACTCAGGCTGCGAGAAGACCTTCATCACGGTGAGCGCCCTGTTTTCCCATAACCGAGCCCACTTCCGGGAGCAGGAGCTCTTCTCTTGCTCCTTCCCCGGCTGCAGCAAGCAGTACGACAAAGCCTGCCGGCTGAAGATCCACCTGAGGAGCCACACCGGTAACGCGCATGCGCGGGCGGGCGGGCGGGCGCTGCGCCGGCGGGCCTGGTGTGGTGTGCCGCGTCGTCTGGGTCACACGCCTGCTGTCTTCTCTCACCAGGCGAGAGGCCGTTCGTGTGCGACTCTGACAGCTGTGGCTGGACGTTCACCAGCATGTCCAAACTCCTAAGGCACAAGAGGTAGGGAGCCCCATGAAAGTCCCTAGTGTGTCAGGAGCAGCACTCTGTGGATGGAAGTCTTTGTAGGTGTTTGTAAGTTGATAGTGAAAAAAGCTCAAAGTAGATGACTTGGAAAATTGAGACGATAAGAAGGAGGTTACTCACTGTCTACAGAGTGTTTCTGCGAATGCCGTTTGGCATACTTTATGTGAAAAAACTCCAGTGTTCATCTCTCAACATAGTGGGGTCAGCGCTTCTTGTGGCCCGCATGCTTTTCCTGCTGGGAGTGACAGCCTTGGAGCCTGTGTGCAGGTCCTGCCGTACCCTTGACGTGTGAGCCCGTGTCCACGTGCTGCCGCGCACTTGACGTGTGAGCCCGTGTCCACGTGCTGCCGTGCACTTGCCATGTGAGCTTTGTCCTTCTCGGCGGTGCCAAGGCGGACGTGGTTCCTCTGCTTGTCTGAACGCGCACAGCTGGGCTCCGAGGGTGCCATGAGAAAATGTCATGTAGGAGTGGTCACAGTGTTTGCCTGTTAGCAGGGGAAGGTCCCGGTAGCCTGCAGCCGGTGCTCTGCTCACACTTGGCCTGGCCCTGTGCGGCTGGGGAAGTGTTCCAGGGCCTCCGCGTGGAGACAGCTGCTCTCGTGCATTTGGGCTCCGCCGTTCCTGGGGAGGAGTAGCACTGACCGCAGGTCTGGCCCGGCAGGCTTGGTCAGGTAGGACTTGGGTTAGGGGTAGCTGAGCTGCAGCGCTCACGTGGCCGAGCTGCTCTGAGCTGTGCGCCTCACCTCCAGATGCAGAGTCTGTCGGGGAAGCAGCGAGCGCCCTCGGGGCGGAGGCGGTGAGTAACAGCCCGTGCCTTTCTGCCGCTGCAGGAAACACGATGACGACCGCAGGTTCACCTGCCCAGTGGAGGGCTGCGGCAAGTCCTTCACGCGCGCCGAGCACCTGAAGGGCCACAGCGTGACGCACCTGGGCACGAAGCCGTTCGCGTGCCCCGTGGAAGGTAGGCTCTAACTCGCTGCTCTGGGTCGTGGGCCCTGCCACCCTCGCCATCTGGGGCTGTAGTCGAGTTGCCTGTTGAATGTGGTGGTTGTGAAGATGAGATAAAATAATGTGACCACAGCCTTGATGCGATTGCACAACACCAAGGCCAGGCTGACTTTTTGAAGGGGTGTCAAGTTTTTAGTATTTTTTTTTAAAGATTGATTTATATATTTGAAAGAGTTATACAGAGAGAGGAGAGGCAGAGAGAGAGAAAGATCATCCATCTGCTGGTTCACTCCCCAATTGGCCACAACAGCAGTTGAACATTCAGGGAGTTGCTTGGGCTTGATCTTCCCACTAATCGCTCATAGTTAGTGCCTGGTGAGACAGGCACAGAGCTGCCCCTTGCGGAGTCATGGCCGAGACGCAGCTGACGCAGGACTTGGGTGGGTCTGCTTTCCACCATCCCTTGCTGAGCAAAGCCACTGACTTCCGACTCTCTGCTTGTGATGCTGCTCCGTAGGGAGATTGGGCACACGTGAGGGTGCATCTAGAAGTCGGTGGGAAGTGGAATGAAGATGAGGGGTTTTTGGTGCAGGAAGTTTCTGGAAATCCATGCATAGTTTTTGCATAGTATGCATTTTCCATAAACTTTTTGAGGATCCCTTGCCCACGTCGCTTGGCAGTGGGCAGCGTGTGCAGGTGCGGTCTCGTGCTCTGGTGTGACAGGTGCGCCTGCGGCAGTGGTGCCTCGGTTCCTCCGACTGACTTCCCTGCTCTGTGTTTCAGGGTGCTGTGCCAGGTTCTCCGCACGCAGCAGTCTCTACATCCACTCCAAGAAGCACCTGCAGGATGTGGCTGCCCCGAAAAGCCGCTGCCCGGTCTCCAGCTGCAACCGCCTCTTCACCTCCAAGCACAGCCTGAAGGCGCACGTGGTCAGACAGCACAGCCGGCGCCAAGGTCTGCTCGCCTACCATCCCCCGGGGGGGGCCCTCGGGAAACTGCAGCCCGGGGCCGGCCGCGGGCACGCTCTCCTGTGCACGCTCTCCCGCCACGTCTGGCCCCTCCCTCAGTCCCCATGGTCGTTGAAGTGCCTCCCTTGAGTGATGTTCCGCCTTCACCCTTGGTCTGCGTCTCCACGTGTCCTGACTCTCACCTGCCCCTGCGCCTGCGCCTGCCCCGTCCCACGGGGGGGCCCTTGTTGCTTCCGCGCTCGCTTCCTCTTCTCTACCCACCCGTCGACCTCACACTGCGGGAGACCAGGTCTTTTCTGGGTGCAGGGGCCGGTGAAGACCAGGGTCGGCTGTGTGTCTGGAGTGGACTGGGGGCAGTGGGGACTCCAGAGGGAAGAGAGCTCAAGGAGCCATGCAGTAGTCCAGGGGCACATGGAGGGGCAGTTTCTGCTCGTGGGAGTGCCCGGCCACTGGGCAGCTTGAAGGCCTGGGAGTTAGAGTCCCTTTTTGTGTCCACAGTCCTGTGGCCGGGACACCGAGGGCATCTTGTAGGCGGCCGTGGTGGCCTCTCCCCTAATGCGCTCGTGGACCCTGCGGTCTGGGCTTGCTGAGGTCGTCCGCCTGGAGAGGCTTGCTGGTGCAGTCCCAGCCTGCTGTGCCTCTGCCCGTGGACGTCCTGGGCAGGGGCAGGGCTCTGGGCCCCGTTCCCTCGTCCTCTGGGTAAGGAAGACGAGGCCGGGGGGCTCTTGGGAGGGACTCGCTAAGGCGCCCCGAGCAGAGCGTGGCGGGCCGGCGCGGAGTGTGGCAGGCGGGCGTGGAGCATGGCGGGCAGGCGCGGAGCGTGGCGGGCCGGCTCGGAGCGTGGTGGGCCGGCGCGTTGGTTGGCGGGTGCTGTGCTTCCTTCCTCTGCTTGCTTCTGAGCCCATCGGAGGGGCCGCGCAGCCCCTCTGTGGCTCTTGGCCATCTGGTCGTGGCCCCAGCAGCTGCCGCTCAGCTTTGCGTTCAGAGAAGCTGCCCCCTGGCCTCATGTGAGCAGAGGGGAGTGCGTATCCCGCCTGACTCACGTGGGCGCTGGCACCGCGGCTCGCAGAGGCGCTCCGTGGCCGAGGCTCCTGCAGCTCCGAGCTGGTGCCCTGGGACGCTGTCATCAGCCGTCTCCCTGTTCCTGCCGTCCCCTCCGTGCGCTCCCACCTTTCCTAACCTGCCTCGTCCATCAGGCAGCAGAGGCTCCGAGTCGTTCCCGATGAGCTTTCCCTGAACTCCACTTGGTGGGAGACCGCACCCCCCATCAGCCCCCCGCCGCCAGGTGCTCCTGTAGCGCCCTGTGTGTCCAGGCTTGTGGGGTCTGTTGTTTTAAGATTTATTCATTTATTTGAGAGGCAGAGAGAAAGAGAGAGAGGTAGGTCCTCCACCTGCTGGTTCATTCCCCAAGTGGCCACAGTGGCCTGAACTGGCCCGATCTGAAGCCAGGAGCCAGGAGCCTCTTTGGGTCTCCTATGTGGGTGCAGGGGCCCAAGGAGTTAGGCCTTCTTCTGCTCTCCCAGGCTATAGCAGAGAGCTGGATCAAAAGTCGAGCAGCCAGGACTCGAACTGGCACCCGTGTGGGATGCCGGCAGTGCAGGTGGAGGCTTTACCCGCAGTGCCACAGCACTGGCCCCAGACTTGGGTTTATCATGGGACCTCGATCCCCATGTCATTGTCCTGCCACCTGTCAGGGTGGAGGACCAAGCATCCCAGTGCTCACCTACTGGAAGTGTTTTCATTCTGGTTGTGTCGGGGTTATTAATCACTCAGGGAGCTGAATCCTCAAGTTACGCAATGGAATTCGGGGGAAATTTTTGAGACATAGTTTTCCATATAATTCTCCAAAGGATCATTATCATTTTCTTCCAGATTGTGTCATTGGTATAAGGTAGTCATTGAAGAAGTGATGCTATGTTGATGCTTTTAAGTGTGGATTTTTTATTTATTTGAAAGGGGGGGTGACAGGGAGAGCTTCCATCCGCTGGCTCACTCCCCAGGTTTTACAGCAGCATGGGCTGGGTTAAGCTGAGGCCAGGAGCCTGGAACTCAGTCTGTCTCCCTGCCTCGCGTGGGTGACAGGGTTCACGCGCTGACTCCCAGGATTTGTGGAAGCGGGAAGCTGGATTGGACACAGACGGGGCTGCATCCCAGGCACCCTGACGTGCGACGTGGGCATCCCACACAGCAGCTTAACCCGCTGTACCGCACCCCTCACCCCTGCTGAGGCGTTTGAAGAATCTTTGAAGTAATACGGAGATAGGGCAGCTAAGGAGGATATATTCTGAATTTGCTGGGCTATTTTCATTTTGGTCTAGGGTAGCGTTCTGTCATAGGCTTGCACTGAAAATGCAGTAGGCGCGTGACCGTTGTCCACAGCTCGGGAGCGACAGTTCACGTTGCTGGCAGTGTGAGAGGAGCTGCAGGCCCGGCGTGGTCCAGGCTCCTGGCTTGGGATCGGCCAGCTCTGGCCCTTGTGGCCACCGTTGTGGTTCACTTGGGGAGTGAACCCGTGGATGGAAGACTTCTCTGCCTCTGCCTCTCTGTAACTCTGCCTTTCAAATAAATAAATAAATCTTTAAAAAAAAAATCTTAAAAACTGCCGTGGAGAGTTCCTGGGGAAGAATAACCCAAGGCCTTGCTTGGTTCCTTGCTCTGGTCATTGTGCCCCCGGTCCCCTGTTTGCCCGGGGCTTGAGGCCCTGTGGTTGATGGGGGCCGTGGGTTGTAACCCCCCAGCCTGAATGCTCATTGACGTGTTTTTGAAGTATGTTGGTGTTTGTTTTCCCCTCAGTGTATTCTGATTATTTAAATGATTTGAATAACAGATAATCAGATCGTGGGACTGCAGATGAGGAGGGCTCTGTTAGGATTATTTCTGTACAATCATGAAATGCTGCGTGAGGGCCAGGCACCGCCCTTGTTGCAGAACGTCAGGTGCTCAGACAGGGTGTCCCCCCTCGGGATGCTCCTCGCCCTGGGTGGGGAGGGGAGCGGTTGGAAGTGCAGTGGCGTGGGGGCCAGCCAGCCCTTCAGCACGGGTTGCACCTGCTGCTGCCCGGTCACTCCCCGGTGGCTTGCCTCGGTTTGCCTCCTGCTCTCACCAGCTGGTGGGGTTCTGGGAACAGGACTTAATCCGACTGCAGTTGCTCTCTCTGGAGAAACCTCTTGTCGGCTTGAGGAGCTGAGACACATGTCATGGAGCTGGCCTCCCCTCGGTGTGTGGGGGTCCCCAGAGATGGGCCGGGCGGGGGCTCAGGGAGAGGGTGCCGAGTGCTGCCCTGACGTCACGAGGAGCGTAAGCCGCGGGTCTGCGTCTGCCGAGGCCGTCAAGTAACGAGAGTGCCCCCTCCTTTTTCAGATCTCTTCCCTCAGCTGGCCGCGCCGAGCGCCCTGCCGCCTAGCAGCGAGCTTGCTAACATAGACCTCGCCGCGCTCTTCTCCGACGCCCCCGGTGCCAGCGGCTCGGCAGCTGGGTCAGACGAGGCGCTGAGCTCCGGCATCCTGACTATAGACGTCACCTCGGTGAGCTCCTCTCTGGGAGGGGCCGTCCCTGCCAGCAGCAGCTCCTTGGGGCCCATCGACCCCCTGGTCCTGGTGGCCCACAGTGAGGTACCTCCGAGCCTGGACAGTCCTCTTGTTCTGGGGACAGCAGCCACGGTCCTCCAGCAAGGCAGCTTCAGTGTGGAGGATGTGCAGACTGTGAGCTCGGGAGCCCTGGGCTGCCTGGTGGCCCTGCCGGTCAAGAGCTTGAGTCAAGACCCCCCGGCCCTGACCGCCAGCAGTACCTTGGCCACGCACGTCGCCACACCCACCTCTGCAAGTACCTCCCACGAAAATGCCAGCGCCCCAGAACTTGTGGCTCCGATCAAGGTGGAGCAGGACTCGGCTGCTGGCCCCGCCGGCCTGGGGCCGCCGGAGGGCAGCCTCGGGCCCCCACGGTCTGTGCTCTCCAGCTCAGTGGGGCCGCACAGCGCCCCGAAGGACGCCGAGCTCAGTGCGGGCACTGGCGGCCTCTGTTTGGTGTGAAGCCCTCTCCTGCCGCACCACCGGGCTCGGCTCGCCCTCCCTCGGGTTGGAGGATGCTGTGGCTGAATCCTTTCTATGCAGCAGCTCGTACTGGTTCGCAGAAGGACGGAGCCTGGGCGCCCAGCCTGGGAGTCTGAATCTGACCTTGAGCCTGGAGCCGACGAGTTCTTAAGACCTTGAGCAAATCGCTGAACCTGTCTGAGCCTTAAATTCTTATTTGTTTAAAAAAACCAGGCGATTTGGCCAGATGGTTTCTAAGGTCCTTTGAGTGCTGTGTTCGCTCATGTGTTTCTTTTCTCGAGGAAATGGGGGTGTTTCATCTTGTTGAAATGTTTTGTGTCTATACGTTCCACTTACTGACAGGTGTCAGGAGAGGAGGCGTTGTTACTAAACTACCTTGAAAGGTTTAATGGAAACTTTAAAACCATGGCGGAATATTTTTTTACAATCAGAAAGAACGAGAAACAAGGAGCGGTTTGTGAACCTTCGTCCTTGGGGGAGTCTCACCGTCTCCACCTTTGAGGCTGGGCACTCCCAGAGACTTTATATTTATACCAATGATACATTTACTATAATTTAAGTTAAAGTTATTTAATTAAAGCTTCTTGGGAGAGAGTGTGACTTTGCTAGTCTCAGATGGACGGATCGCATAGTTGTTTTGCGCAGTGGCACAGGTTAAATTTGTTGGCAACGCTGCTGTTACTGCCAGCGCTGCGTCTTAATGTACCCTGGCTTGAGACGTCGGCCCTCTGGGATTAGCGTCGGTTAGCAGGTCTGGTGCACCTGACTTCATTTCTTTCATCCGAGCGCAGGGCAGTGTGCGCGTTTCTGTCTCTGGTGCGCAGGGCAGTGTGCGCGTTTCTGTCTCTGGTGCCAGAGCCACACTTGGCTGGCGTCGCTCAGGTTGCCATAGCAGTCGCTGGCGGGACGTGAGGCGGGAAGCTGGTCCCCAGACTGGGACGCGGTGTGTCGGGCACGGCAGCGCCCTGGTGGCCTGCTGCCCCTGCAGAGCCCCAGCTGTGCCTGGAGGCGACCCGCGTCCTAGCTGCTTGCTCGTTTTCTTGCTAGCGCGTGGCTTTGGGCTCCCTCGCTTCTCTGAGTACAAATGGAGTGTGCGGAGCGGGTTACAGGTATGCCGGGAGCTGCTGAGGGCTGTTTTTGTTTTCCCGCTTTGTAGTGATAAGAATGACGTTGTTTGTCTTCCAGAGCGTGTGTGAAAGCACAGCAGTTTAGGGCCTCGTGGAGTGTTGTTTGGCTGAGGCAGTAACGTGGGTGGTGTTCTGGCGTAGGCGCCCCTGAGCGTGGCACCTGCTGGCAGAGGCGCCCCTGCGGCGGGCGTGGGAGGCAGGGTCTGCCCGGGCGCCCCTCAGCCACGCCATCCAGCGGCACCTGGGCCAGGCTGAGGGTCCTCTCAGGAAGCGGAGAAGCCCGCCCTGCTTCTCGTAGTAGCTTCTGTGCAGAGCCTTCTTAAGCCTTCCAGACTCCAGAGGACCCATCTGTGCTCCTCGGCTACCAGGGCCGTGCGCATGGCTCCGCCCCCGGCTGGCCAGCTGTGGCCGCAGCTGAGCAGCCCTTGGTTCCCTGTGTGCCTTAGCCGGAGGCTCTGCAGTGGTTGTTGGCGCTCCCGTGCCACAGCAGACCAGGGCGTGTCTGTGGTCCCCTTCCGGCCTGCTGTGGCCGTGCACGCCCCGTGACTGACACAGGCTTTTCTGGTCTCAGGACTGTGGGGGCTCAGCGAGAACTGATTGCCGAGCCACTCCACTAGCCAAGGAAAAGCAGGAAGGAGCGGGGAGCGGCCAGGCGAGGCGTGTGTGCTGCGGGGCGCGCACAGGAGGGCCGAGGTTCCTGGCGCGGTCAGGAATAGGAACCACAGGCGGGGAGGTGTCCTGGCCGTTGGTTTGACTCACACGTTTCAACTCTGTAGATTTATGTGTACTTCAGGGAAAAAAATTTAGTTGGAATTCTCAGCATCGTGTGATGTGAACATGTTGTATTTATTCCCCCCAAGAAAAAGAAAAAACTCTGAAATTGTGGGGTTCAGACACAGGTGTCCGTCACCTGGAAGGCTGCTAAGGGGAAAAAGCAAAGCAGGCCACGGGTCAGAGAGCAGAGCGGGGCCCGGATGCTGAGTGGCCGTGGCTCGGGCCTGCCCCGGTCTCCCCGGGAGACATGTCCCTGTGTGTCATGGGGCATTGTGGCCCCCAGGCCAGAGTTCGGTTGGGGTTTTATTTGAAAATGTTAACACCTTACTTGAATTTTTAAAAACACCTGTGGACCCAACAAGATGGGGTGGCCTGTGGCCCGAGACGTCCCTCCCTCCTGAGGATGAGACGAGGGGACACAGTGCTACAGCAACTGGTGAACCTTTGGTCCCAGCAGTGGTGAATTCTCACAGTGTTTTACTTCTGCGTGTTTCATTTGTCTTACAGTTACTTTAAATTTATTTTTAAACTGTCAAGGGGGATGTGGCGTCCGTGTATGATTTTCTGTCTTCTCTGTTCTTAATAGTCCTACGGCTTCCTACTTACAATAAATCATAACCTCCTCCTTTGTGCTAACGGGGTTCCTCACGCACGTTTCTTCCTGGAGCGGCTGTTGATTGTGGCAGCCTTGACTGTGACGTGGGAAGGGCTCCCCCCACGGCTCTCAAACCACGGTAGAACCTGTGGAGACGCCGGAGGAGAGTGTGGTGGTGGGAGTGTGCGGAACTGCCCACGCGCCAGACACGTCGTGAATGCCTTTACTGAACCTGTAGGTAATCTTGAACTTGAAGGCAAAGAGTACTACAAACATTCGGGTCTATGACGTATGTTACCTTCATTGCAATGCGTTGGAGTAATACATGCTTTTTTTTTTTAATTGCTTTTATTAATGTTTCAGCAGTGTCCTTAAAAAATAAGGACCCTTTCAAAACATGATAGCCACATACAACTCTTACTTCTTTTAAAATTAACAGCATTTTCTTTTTTTTTTTAAAGATTTATTTATTTATTTGAAAGGCAGTTACAGAGAGGCAGAGGCAAAGAGAGAGAGAGAAAGAGAGAGGTCTTCCATCTGTTGGTTCATTCCTCAAACGGTTGCAATGACCAGAGCTGGGCTGATCCAAAGCCAGGACCTAGGAGCTTCCTCTAGGTCTCCCACGTGGTACAGTGGCCCAAGCACTTGGGCCATCTTCCACTGCTTTCCCAGGCCGTAGCAGAGAGCTGGACTGGAAGCGTAGCAGCTGGGACTCGAACTGGCACCCATATGGAATGCAGGCACTACAGGCAGCCGCTTTACCCACTATGCCGTAGCGTCGGCCCCAAAATTAACAGCATTTTCCTAACACAAGTATCTAGCAAGTTTTCAGTTGTCTCCAATATGAATATTTATAACTGTTGGAATCAGAATTCAAGTAAGATTCATACCTGCTACACTGCTGTCTCTTAGAGTCGGCGCTTTCTCCTGTTTCTGTGGCAGACATTGAGTGTGGTGCTGTGTGGAGCTTGCTGATTGCATCACCGGCGTAGAGTTCCTCCTACCGTGTGTGTGTGTGTGTGTGTGTGTGTGTGTGTGTTTCCTACAAGTTAGCCAGCAGTGGCATCTAGCGGTGTGATGCAGTTGTCCTGGGGCAGGCACAAGGCTAGCGAGACTCCTGCACAGGGGCTGTAGGCCCCTCCAGGAGGCCCTGGTACAGGGGCCCTGTTCCTGTGTTGGTCACAGCCAGCGGGGTCAGGGACTCGGTGCATGGTCTCCCTGGAGATTACTGAAAGATAATACTCTTGTTCCCTTTTCTCTGTTAGCTAGAACACTTCTGTCAGGGGTGACTTCTCACTCCCTTATCCTGGGGTACGGTTCATGCAGCAAGGTAGGTGGTGAGCTTGGACATGGCTGTGTTACTCAGGGCCTCCAGTGGTGGTAGTACTCATTGATTTCAACATTTGTAGACGTTGAAGGGAAACAGAACTCGCACCAGCCGGCCTCCAGCCTCCACGTGGGGCATTGTGCTCATTAGGGCGAGGACGCGCCTCGCATCACCCCTGGCCTAGGCCTGGAGTCAGCCGCCTCTGCAGGGAGCCCACGCTGGTAGGCAGCAGCCAAGATGTGGACGCTTGGTGTGCTCACTGCTTCCCCGGGACGCTCACCGGTGCTGGGAAGTACGTTTATGTCTGTTAACCCCACAAGCTGTGTTTTGAATTCAGAGTATTTTAGATTTTAGAGAAGCACTAACACTTGCAGTTACTGCACTGGTACTTTTCGGAAAATCCACATACGTGGAATCAGATAAGAACGTAAATGGTGTCGCATCTGTTCAGGTAAGGTTTTGCTGCTGAATTATTTTTTGATACCAAAATAATTTTTAAAGGAGGAATTTGGGTTTTGGAGTTTTCTGGGTGTCAGAAATGTGGCTCGGGGGTACGGACCAGTGAGTCTGAGAAGCCGGAAGTTGGAGTGTACCAGGACCGTGGTGGGGTTGGGTCATTTGAATGCAGTCAAGATTGCGTTGTAAATAAGGTTAAGAGTGGAGTGCACGTGTCGGCTCTCGGGAGGTGTGCAGTCTGACACGATAGGATTGAAATCCAAGACTGTTCATTGTGCTGCTATTCAGTGTAGAAAATAAAATGCCAGTTTATCTTCAGTATTTATCTTCAGTCAAGCGTGGATGGAAAATACTTGGGAGAAAAAGTGTGCGTGCTGAACAGTTTTGGATTTTTTTGGTCTTGACATTTCCTGAATAACGACATGACTATTCCTGTAGCGTTGATGTGGTGTTCGGGATTGCACGTGTGGTGGTGAATTAAAGTGCGTGGCGGCACGTGCGTAGAGAGAGGCAGAGGCTGCCCTGCTCGGATCGGGGACTTGTGCGCTGCAGAGTGCGGTGCCCACAGGGGTCCTGGAGCCCGACCGTGGTGGGGACCAAGAGTAGCTGGACAGTGCTTGCCCGAGGAGACAGCGCTCGGCAAGACGCGTCGTGAGAAGGCGGAAGGTCTCCGTGTCACAGGAAGGGTGACAGTGAGCCTGGCTCCCCCGAGAAGGCGCTGTCAGAATCCCAACCTTGTGTTGTGTGGCGAACAGGATGAATAAAAACCTAGCGGTCTTGAAGGTGATTAATTTAACTAATACTTTTTGCAGCTTTAGCAGAAAAATAAGAACATGAAGCATTT